TCTTCCTGAGCCTTCACCTACCAGACTTCCACAAACTTTTCATCTATTTGGTAGACATCATTTTCTCTGCAAAACCTCTCTTGTTCACTCCCTGTCTGCATGTTCAGTCCCCTGCCTCTCGTGCGTTCCCCTGGTTATAACACTTGTTGCTCCATAACTATTCATTGTCTTTTATCTCCATGACACCATAAGTCCAAGATTTTTGTTTTGTTTAACTTGTTTACCACTGCTTTCCCTTTGCTAAGAAAAGTGATTGGAACATAGTAAGTGCTCAATAAAAAAATGAAAGAATGAACAAATTAGTAAGGAACACTACTAGGGATTCAAATACTGAGATCTGGAGTCAAATATGTGTGTTAGAGTTCCCTCTTCATTCTTACTAGCCCTGTGATAGTTGAAACATTTATTAATTCCTATAAAAATATGTTTAGTACTTTTCTTGTTGTTATGCACCATTCTTATGGAATGACTATACTAATGAGCGAGCTAGGTCATGAATAAGTGAAAAATAAATGAATTAATTTAAAAGTGATGGTAATTGTTGGGAAAGTGCTGTGAGGAAAGTGAGATGTAGTGTAATTCTATGGGGGAAGGGTGATGAGCAAAGGCTGAGAGGAGGTGGAATTTAGGCTGGGACATGGAGGAGAAGGAAACAGCCATGTTTAGAGCTAGGGGAAAAAGATTCCAGGAGGAAAGCACAGCAGCTGTGAGCTCCTCTGAGCTTTGTGCTTGTCTTCCTTCATCTGTAAATTAGCATAGTAATAATAAATGCCACATAGAATTACTTTAAAGTTAGAATCAGATCAATCATGGAAAGCACCTATCCCACTGTCTAATTGATAGTGAGCACTAAGCAAAGGTCAGTTGGTTTTATTATGAAGAATAAAGTAGATCAAGTTGTCCTTTTTTAAAGGGGATCTTTAGTTATGGATATTTTACTTTACATAGAGACTCAGTTTCTCTTATACCCTAAACAAATTATTATTGAGTACCTACTCTGTGTAAGGCAGTATGCTGGCGACTGTGGAAGGCTAAAGAAGTATCTAGGAACTAAGGTCTATTTTTTTACACTCTACATTTCACTTCTGTTATTTATTACTGCTTTGTCTCACCATCCATTCTAGAAGTTACCTCCCCAAGCACACACACGCACACACACAAGCACACACATCTCTCTCTTTATATTTTCCCTCTGTTTGGCAGCTAGAAAATTCAGTGTACATGGCTTTTCTTGGGTGATGACCTTATAAATCATTTGAATCACAGTTGGTATTTCTGAACATTTGAAATGCTCGCGGCAAGGAAGCCTTCACATTTCTGAAAGAAAGGCTGTCACAAATACTGAACTTTATTGAAAAAGGAGCCAGATGCTAATAGAAAATATAAATGTTATCCAAGAAAAGGTTTGCATTTGTATATTAGGAATATTTTTTGTACATAATAGCTACATGTGGCGACATTTCTTTTCTTCCTGTGGGTGTCCACTTCCAAGGAAATGATGATTGAAATGTTAGAAATGCAAAATTAATTAACACCTTGTATAGTTCATTTGGCTCCCACAGACTCAGTAATGGCTTTACTTGTATATAACTGTGTCTGTTGCCTATTTTTGACAAGTTTGGACAAAATATCTGCTCAGCACTATTTCTGGATTTCTGATGCTGCTGAGAATAGCTGCAAGGATAAGAGGTAATGAAAAGAGAACAAAAGACTCTAAAATGTTATTGAGAGGGATTATGCTTCTATTTGTATGATTTTTGGGTCAATCCTGGATTTTTATTTAAAAAGAAAATATATTTTAAGGCTAATGACTTGTTTTAAAAAAACAAAGTAAACGACAATCATAATTTTTAAAACATAAAAATTGCATCTTTAAAGATGTTTTTGTAACTTGATGCCAAAGACAACCTCCCTCAATAAAGCAAGACTGATCTAAATATGACATGTGGGAAAAGGGTCCTGAAAGCTTACCTTTACTCTCTTATCCACTACTTAATTGTTCTTTTGTCTTCATCTTGCTTAGTTCTTTCTCTTTAGACGAAACAGTGCCTAAACTAACCCAAACAGGAGGGATCTTATCCTTTAAACTTACATTTTTTAGAACAGTTTTAGTATGTAGTTGTAGGGCTGATTGCAAAACAGATTTTATCAAGTTTATGGTTTGATGACTCTATATTAGGCTATATTTCTCTGATATGAGAATGACCATTTGTTATGTGTGTATATATATGTGTGTGCATAAATATTAATGTGTATATATTTGTGGGCATAAATACAAATATATAAATTTATGTGGGTATATGTGTGTGTGTTTAAACCTTGATGAGAATTTTTGATTACTTGTAAACTTTCTCAATTTTTTTACATGATGTTAACATTGCATTTCCAAAGTCATAGGTTGGAAATATTTGGAGAATAGTTGGTTTATAAGGTATCAGAGTTTAATGCTGTGAAATTTGAGGTGAACTATTGTCGGTAATTGTCTTCAGAAATACAATATGCTGGTAAAGTTGTTGTTAGATCCTAAGAGCATTATAGAACAAAGAAGGACAACTATTGTTTGTTTATTAATTTAATAGTTTTTGAGCACCTGTAAGGACCACAAGTTGTGCTAAGTTCCAGAGTAGCAAATTGTAGTTGCCTTGGTCTTTAGCTGCCTATCATGTTGCCATCTTTCCTCTTTCTCTTGGTATCAGCACACCCTTTCCTCACTTTTGGTCCCGTTGGGGTAATAATTATGATGCCAACGTCTCCTGAGCTCTTGGTGACAGATATTTGACTTAGGCTGGGCTAATCGTAGTACCTGACATAAATTCACAGAAGTGCCTATAACTTATAGGGGAATTAATCTGTGGGACATTTGGGAAAAAAATATTTGCTTTCCTTTGGAGTTACTAATCTAAGTTTACATAATCCAGAATGTATTAGTTAGTAAACTAGTAGTTTTCCTTTTATGCCTAAATTAGAATTTGATTTCTATCTGTCGTAGCTAAAAGTCTCGATTAATGAAATTGTGGATGCAGAGATGTACAAAGTAAGGTTTTAGTCCTTAAGTAATTCTGTTTGATTAGAATAGACTCATGAAACAATAGTTCCAATGTAATATGAAAAGCATTATTTTTGGTGTATGTATAGCAAAGTGGAAACAGAGAGGAGAAAGAAACTTGGCTGGCGAAGACTTCAGAGAATGATATTTGAGCTAGGGGTTAAATTATGTGTGGATAGTCATGAAAGCAAAATGAGAGAGAAGGGATACGTAAGGCCTAAGAAATAGCATGTCAAAACGTAGGAATCAGAAAATGCATGATGTATTGGGGAACTGCAAGAAGCTCTATATTTTCACTGTTGTATAGACTGTGAATAGAAGTGGATGGTAGATGAAAGAGTGGTGGGTTGGGTTGCTTTTGGTACAAGTTGAAAGATATGCACCTGTGGAAAAATCCCACTCCCAAAAGTAACAATAATCCCAGGGGAATTTTTAAAAATCCTGTTAAAAATGGGTTTTGAAAAAGTTAATGTGTGAGTGTTAAAAACCTACTACCATTTCCCTGCCTTTTCTGTATGTACCAGCTGGTTTCCCAAACTTTTCATATGCTGGCCCAGGTAATGGGTGAAGCAGGAGACTGGAAAAGGCAAAAAGGACAAATTATAAATGCTGAAGACCTAACTAGGGGAGCAAAGATTGCTTCTGGAGAAGTGAAACAATGGAAATACGAAAAAGGGTGGGGGAAAAGCCAATGAAAGCTGAGTTTTAAGAGCTTTTGAGGCTTTTAAATACCTGAGCCTAGAACCTAAAAATCAGACACTGTGGGTAGCTATTGTATTGTGTGAGATGAAAAAGGATTGAGAGATTATATTTAAAACTGCTGCTGTGTGTTCTGAGTGTAATGTTTCCCTTTGCCAGCGATATTAGTAAATGTTTTCTCAGTGATTTTCTTTCATTGTTATTGAATACGTGTTTCTGTGGAATAGGACACCCATATTAAGGCTGTCCAACATTTATCAGGTTATATGAAAACAAAGGACTTCTCTGTGAATCTTCATTTTAGAAAAGGTCAACTGTACATTTCAAATCTTTAGTTTAATGAGGCTAATGTATAGAAGAGTGTGATGGTTAATTTTATTTGTCAACTTGGCTAGGCCATAGTACGCAGATATTTGGTCAAAACCAGTCTAGATGTTTCTGTGAAGGTATTTTTTAGATGAGATTAACTTTTAAATTAGTAGACACTGAGTAAAGCAGTTACCTTCTGGAATATTTGTTGACCTCATCTAATAAGTTGAAGATTTTAAGACAGGGGAAAAAAGACTCAATTTTTCTTTTTCCAGAGGAAAAGGATATTCTGCCTTCAGACTGCCTTCTGACTTGAGTTGAAACATCAACTCTTCCCTTATTCTTTAGCTTGCCAGCCCACTCTGCAGATTTCACTTTTAACCAGCCCCCACAATCACTTGAGCCAATTAAAAAATAAATCTCTCTCTGTTACCCGTGCACACACACATACACACATGCACACTCATGCATAATCTTCTATTCTTTCTATTTCTCTGGAGAAAGCTAACATAAAGTACAACAATCCAAAATGAGCAAATTAAATCTAATTGAGCCTATTTGGCAGTATGTTACTTAATGTCTCTGGAATAGAAAAGATTGAGAGAGGTGTCTAGGAGTCAAATCCTGAAATGCTTGACCAGCCACATACCATAGTTACCATAGTTTTACCACTTCACTAGGTGCCCAAATAGATGCATGCATAGAAAGCAAAGGTAAGTGAATCACAATGATGATAGGGGTTGTGAAGAATTCATATCTTTGTAGAGAAGATTTTCTTCTTCTGTCCTAATGCCTACAAAAGTGTTCCCTACTTCTGCATATTTTCTCCAAAGCCTATATCCTAAGTTCAGTGCTCTCAATTTTGCTACTCTGATGGTGAGAGAAGTCGAGGTGAAAATTCCAAGGAAAATATCTTCAAGAGAGCATGGGAATGTTTCTTTCCTAGGTCCAAAGTACCGTTGTAAGCATCTTTCAAAGATGGGGCTTCTTCTGAGAAGAAAAGTAGACTCAGACTCATCTAAAGAAATTTGAGAAGAGAGAATCAAAACAAGGTGGGTCCAAAATACAAATTCTAGGGGAACAAGCTACTTGAAATTAAATGATTTAAATATCTTCTCTACAAATAAGAAAAGTTTAAATTCTATTAGTTATGGGTCATAGTGTCTTGATCACTACTAATATTTTCTTAGGTCCAAAATTTATTGGTGGGGGCAGGATGGTATGGAAAGGAAGAAATTTTGAGTTTCTTCCAGAATTCAAGGTAAATTTTAGGTATCTGAAAAACTCAATATGTATCATCTGCTTTCTTAAAATTTCTGTGATTCTGTAATATTCTCAAAGTTTTTATACACTCATTTTTTTTGCTTTGCCTTTTACTATAATTCTCCTTAACAACACTGCCAATATAGAATGGGTTAGAAGGAATCTCATTAATTTAGGTACAGAAATAAACATTGAGTATATGTCCTGATATCACAGAGGAGCTTAAAAAATTTTAACACTGAGTGTCAAGGTCTTCAAAGAAACTCAAATCAATAATCTAATATCGCCAAATGTTTTGGGATAGTTTCAAGACACACACAAGACTATTTAAAGACATTTAAAACACAAATATAAAACCATATCCAAACTCTATGCAATTTGTGGCCAACCAAGCCAAATTCAGTATTAAACAGGAAGTAGAAATAGGAAAAGAAAACTAGTCTTTCAGAGGTTTACATTGTTCATCTTTATGTCTTCCACTGCTCTTACTACAATTATATATATATTTATATATATATAAGGCAATCAGATATTTTTGGAATTAAAATTTTAAATAAATTTTAATTTCAAGATGATGCTGGTGATTTTTATACTGATAAAGATAATTATCTTCTGAATAAGGACTCTGTAAACTCTCAGAACTTTACAATGTGATTTTTAATGAAATAAAATAACTTTTCTATGCCCTTTAATGATAAGAGCTATCAATGAATATTTGCTGTGTCCTCTTATATGCATGTTAGTAGCATCCACTGCATGCCCAGTTGTGAATGAGCAGCTTTATTTAGTAAAGTTCCTGAAGCAACGCTGACCCTTTATGACCTCTTTGAGAGATAGAAACAGCAAATCTCTCTGGTATTATTAGGGAAGAATACTGGTGAACCAATGTAACAGACTTCCTTTTCAAAGAAAAAATAGACTCATAATTGGAAAAGTGTTTTGGGTGTTGCTGACCTGACAAAAGATTAAAATTAAACTCTAAAGTAAAAATGACTCAAGTAAGATAATACTTTAAAGCATTTTTTTCTTCCCTTTTGCAATTGGTGTTCTCATAGATACGCTATAAAACACAATTATGTAATATATAATAATATACATATCATTTGGATATATGATATAATCAAAGTAGATATAATAATTGCTATCATTTTTGAGAACAGACTATGTGCAGGGAATAGTGTTAGGTTCTTTAAATATATTCTCTTATTTATTGCTCTGAACTAGTATATAAAATATATTTTATAATTCACAATTTAGAAGTGAGGAACTGAGGCATGGTGAAATTAAATAACTCGCCTAGAGCAACAGAGTTAGTAAGTTTGTGGAGCTGGAAATCAGAACCAGGTCTGTAATTCCAAAGACCACACTCTTTATTCAGTAGCTATTTATCATTGCCATCATCTTTGATGACATGTAAAGTAAGTAAGTGAAACAAAAACCTCTCTATGCAACATGATGGATGCATTTTAATTTATCAAATAAAAAAATGAGAATACACTTCTTAAAGAAAAGTTTACTTGGCCAGGCACAATAGCTTACCCGTGTAATCCCAGAACATTGGGAGGCCAAGATGGGAGGATGGCTTGAGGCCAGGAGTTAAAGACCAGCCTGGTCAACAAAGTGAGATTCCCATCTCTATTTTTAAAAGTGAGAGAGAAACTTACTGGATGTTCCAGTATATAGAAAAACAGAAGATACAAGCTACATAAACCTCTTTTTGACTTTGGGTACATTACTGGTGATGTTGGTTCAACGAGCCTACATCAAACAAAAGAAAGATCAACAATCCAGAACCGGGGGGGGGGGGAGGGGGGGAGGGAGGAAGGATGGCCAAATGGGAACAGCTCCAGTCTCCAGCTCCCAGCGTCAGCAACACAGAAGACAGGTGATTTCTGCATTTTCAACTGAGGTACTGGGTTCATCTCACTAGGGAGTGCCGGACAATCAGTGCTGGTCAGCTGCTGCAGCCTGACCAGCGAGAGCTGAAGCAGGGCGAGGCATCGCCTCACCTGGGAAGTGCAAGGGGGAGAAGGGAACTTCCTTGTCCTAAGCAGGGGAACTGAGACACACAAACACCTGGAAAAATCAGGGTAAAGCACCCCACCCCCAACATACTGGCGCTTTTACGCAAGGGTCTTAGCAAACCTGGGGCAGCACCCAGAGAGATTATATCCCAGCACATGGCCAGGAGGGTCCCACGCCCAACAGAGCCTCCCCTCAATTGATGAGCACGAGCAGTGCCTGGTGATCCCTAATAGCAACGGCAGCAGCCAGGCTGGGGGAGGGGCCCGGTGCCGCCATTGCTCGAGGCTTAGTAGGTAAACAAAGGCCCGCTGGGAAGGTCCCCGAACCTGGGTGAGGCTCCACAGGAGCTCAAGGAGGGCCTGCCTGTCTCATGTAGAGCTCCACCTCTGGGGACAGGCACAGCTAAACAAACACCAACAACAACAACAAAGCAGGCCCAGAAATTCTGCAGAATGCAAGGAACTCTGACCAGCCTTTGAAGAGGGCAGATGAGGAATGCTCCCAACAGCGAGAGGTTGAGATCTGAGAATGGAAGCAGACTGGCCTGCTCAAGGGGTCCCTATCACCCCTGAGTAGGCCCCTAACTGGAAGACAATCCCCACTAGGGGCAGACCGACACCCTACAGCCGTCACATGCGTGGAGGACACCCCCCTGAGAGGAAGCCTTGCGCAACAGCAAGATCAGAGAGAGGTAAGCACCGGCTTGTTCAGGGCATTATTCATATCTTTTGCAGCCTCATGCTGCTGTGATACTGCACAACAAACAGGGTCTGGATGGACCTCAGCAATCTCCCAACAACCTACAGCTGAGGGTCCTGACTGTTAGAAAGGAAAACTAAAACCGGCGCGCCGCGCGGTCACACAACTCATCAG